ACAATAATTGAAGCAGTCAAAAATATTACATTTCCTAAAACTTTATTTCTTAACACACAGTAGTAAAGAAATGATCAGAGAATACACACAAAAAAAAAACTAATAAATTAGAACTAAAACACTTCAGGGCATCAAATGGAGTCTAGATAATTTGCAGCAGATGTATTGAGGTAGATTATTTCAAAGATGCAATGATCTATGAAAAAAGATCTGTTTGTTTTTTGGAGCTGGTAAAACTAGCTGCCCATTAATGGAACCTCTGGTCTTGTTATCATGAACAGAAAGACTTAAAACAATTCATAATTTCTATGTTCTTCAGCTCTGGAGTATTTCAGCTGAGTGGAAACCACAGAGATGAGATAAAGGGAGCAAAGAGTCGGATCCAGAGGACCACCTGCACACCAAAGAGCTGTGAGTTTGGTTTATTCCTCATTTCTCTGGAGTTCTGCTGAGTTTATTTAAAATAAGTCCTCAGTGTTTCCTTCTGTACCTCGTTAGAAAAACTGATAGTTAGTCCTGACTAGGGGTGTGGAAAAAATTGATTTGGCGATATATCATGTTTTTTGGGTGCCTGATTCAATATCTTTTCCTAATAGCGATTAAAAAAAACAAAACAATTAACCTAAAACAATGAGGGAAAATGGGCTCCCTCTGCACAGCCAGTCTGGCAGATAAAGCTCTGCTTTGGCTGTAAGGCAGAGACATATCTGTAGCTGAGGCGGCCGCTGTGGAAGACGGGGACTGACTCAAAACCCAAACATGGACGCTGAGGAGTAAAACATGTTGAGGTTTGTCTGTTCTCAGCCTCCCGGCTCCAAACGAAGGTCATGAGAGAGAAGAATGAGTCTCAGCCTCCTTCATGGGATGAAGAGGAGGACTGATGTTATTAGGAGACCCATCTGAGCAGAGAGAGATTAACCTGACAGGAAACGGCCTTCATGAACTAAAGTTGTTTCTCCTCCAAATGTTCAAGTGTGAGAAAGTTCTTTGTGCGGGGGGTAGGTTGGTTCCTGTGTGTTGGGATGTTTGTAAGGTATAAATTTCATTTCATTTATTGTTTATTTGAAAGGGGGCAGTGTACATTAATCAACATTAAAATGTAAATATACCCGAGTTAGCTAAGGAGTGCTAATTGTCATCGGTAGTCAACCTTAAAAATAAACACAAGTATAAAATCACAAGATAAAATTACAATACCAGTTACATAAAAAACATTATGTGTAAATGTACTGAGGTAGCCTGAGTCAGAGCTCTATCTCTCCGGTTGAGGATGTAATGATCTTGGTTCTGTTGTTTTTCTGTCAAGATTTGGTTTTAAGGTTGTTGATTGGACCCAATAGCAGAAGCTGAGAGGCAGAGGTGAGTTCTTGGAGGGTTTAATCAGAGATCAGGCAACAAAAACAGGAATCCAAAAATCCGACATAAAAATCAAACACAAACCAGAACCATGGAGACATGAGGGGAAACCCATCAAGGAGCCAGGGTGAGAAAAGGTAAGACGAGGAACCAGCAAAGAGGGACTGCAGAGGGAGTGTATTTATGGCTGACTGAACAAAGGTAGGACTAATGAGCTGATAAGGAGCAGGTGTGAGCAGAGCTGAGGAGGAAGCAAAAGAAAACACGAGGGGGCAGCAGAGTACAGACAGAAAAACCTAAGCAACTTAAATGAATCCAGACACACCAATAAAGCTAGGAAACAATGAAAAAACTGGCTAAACTTGAAACTGAAAACTTAAAGAAAAACAACAGAACCAAGATCGTTACAGAGGATGTTAAATAAATGTGAACCTTTTTTCTTGCAAGAAATGCCTCTGCCTCCGCTTCCTAACTGAACAAAACCAAAATAACTAAATTATCAATATTTTCTCATGAAAATATACAGATGTTTTTTAACACGCTTTTTTATCTAAACATTTAATTTTGGTAGCTGTGAAAAACATCACAATAATAGTGATATCGCAATAACGTGATAATATCGTTTTGTGACTAGTGTTGCGCCGATGCCATTTTTGGCCCCGATATCAATACCCGATACCTGGCTGTGCGTCATCAGCCGATACCATCTGTTTGAAGTTAATGTGTGTATCTATGAAGAACTGCAGACTACCTGGATGTAAAATCATCACCATCATGGCTTCAAGCTGCTGCCTTCCTTTGTGAAGCAGGAAAAAGACTAAAACAAAGAGAATCCAGTAGAACTTTTATTGCCTGGAATGGGGGACAATAGTTGAAGAAACTTTTGGCTCTAAATGATATCGGTGCTCTATTGGTTGGTACTAACTGATATGATATCACCATTTCAATCTGAAAAACTCGCAGAGAAAAAAAGACGCAATTAGAACACTTTTATTGATACAATAGTTTGAACTTTGGCGCTCAGGCCTTGGCAGGGTACATAAACGCTGGTTTATACTTTAATGCAGATAAACTGATGTATGAGAATAAGGATATTCCCCCCCGGGCCTGAAACTGGTGGTGGAGTTTAGATAGATGAAGTCTGGTTAATCCATAGAGGCTGGAATACGAGGTGATGCTTGAGTTAGATGTCACTGAATGAACAAAGTTGCATAGACTGTCCATGAAGAGCAAGCATTAAGCGACTGTGGAGAGAAAAAACTCCCCTTTGGGAAGAAACCTCTGGCAGAACCAGACTCAACATGGCGGTCTTCTGCCGGATCGTTTAAAGTGACGGGGGACTCCATGAAAGTCTGGAGGGAGTACGCACTGGAGGTGAGGATGAAGGAGCATCTAGGAGGAGTTGGATGAGCTTACTACGACGGTGGAGAAGGGGATGGAGGTGGGTTGTCTGAATCAAAGTCCGACATAGGAGCGATGGATCTTGCGCTTGTTGAAGAGCAGGCCTAGAGATGATTTGGAGCGGCTTTTAAGTAGAGTGCTGGAAGATGATTGGGCAGCGAGGAGATGTAGCTTGAAGCAGATTGGCTGCATCGGAGGCGGATCAGCCTCTGATTGGATGGGAGTAATCAGAGTTTCTTCAGTTGAATTTCCGCCTTGGCTTCATTTTAGTGCTGGATCAGGCCCTCGCCCGATACTGGTATCAGTGCAACACTGATCGTATCATATTGCAACAGCCATGCAAATATTCACCCCTAGTTCTGACTCAGAGAGCGTATAGAGAGGGGGTGGAGCCTGGAAACCAGAGGTTCTGAGTTCAAGCCCCACTCCCACTGCCACTCTGGGTGTCTGATCGAGACCCTAAACCCCACACTGCTCCCCGGGGGGGCCACACAATGGCAGCCCACTGCTCCCCAAGTGTGTCTTGTTTTAATAAACGTTTTGAACTTTCGTACCGACTGTCTCCCCTTGAATACTGGGTCCATCTGTTCCGTTTATGACCGTTTCTCTCTGTTATCTGAATCTCTCTCACCAGAGCTGCTCCATGTTTATCGAATGTAAACAGAGTCGTTTTACCTTGTTAGATCAGGAGGCGCGGCGCGGTAATCATCAATGCAATCAAATGTTTTTATTTTCACATCTGCTTTCATCCTTTTTTATGTAGTCTATTGTAACTAAGCTGTGGTTTGATGCAGGGTCTAAAATGATTGGCTGGCAGCTGTGCTCCAATGTCTCTTATCCATCTGCTGCTGGTCCTACCCTCCCCCCCGCTGGACCGGTCCATCTCTCACTCAGGCTGCTGAAGCTGGACAGAGGCCTCCATTATTACCTGCTGGAGGCTGCTTACTCATTCCGTTATCAGGTATCTATTGAATATCCTGGTGAGCATGCATGCTTGCAGAAGGGCTTCTTTGAATAGAAACATGTCTTAATGCTATGATGTAACCCAGTGACCCAGTGAAAAAAAAGAAGAAAAAAGCCAAAAAGGCGGTAAAAGTATCTTTTTTGTTTTGTCTTTAAAGGCACAC